TAACAGAAATACCACAAGTGGATGGCTTTAACAAAGAGAAATTTATTTTCTCACAGTCTAGTAGGCTACAAGTCCAAATTTAGGGCATCATCTCCAGGGGAGGTCTTTCTCTCGCTGTCGGCTCTGGAAGAAGGTCCTTGTAATCAATCTTCCCTTGGTCTGGGAGCTTCTCAGTGCAGGAACGTCTGGACCAGAGGACGCGCTCTACTCCCGGCACTGCTTTCTTGGTGATAAGAGGTCCCCCCGTCTCTCTGCTCACTTCTCTCTTTTATATCTCAAAAGAGATTGGCTTAAAACACAGTCTAATCTTGTAAATCTCATCAGCAGAACTGCCGCTGATCCATCTCATTAACATCATAGTGATAGGATTTACAACACATAGGAAAATCACATCAGATGACAAAATGGTGGACAGTCATACAATACTGGAGATCATGGCCTAGCCAAATTGGATACACATGTTTTTGGGGAACACAGTTCAATCCATGATATAGTTCATGCATAGCTATTAGCATAAGTGTATTATATAATCTACATAGTAATTGTTCGCTATTTGTATAGGACAACTGTACATAATATAGTAGTTCTAGAGTCAGACTGCCTAGGTTTGATTCCAGGCCCCACTGTATTAGCTGTGTGACCTTGTACAACTTCCCAGTTACTCAGTTTCCTCATGTGTGAAATGAGCATAACAAGACTGTCTACTTTATAGGCTTATAAGGATTAAAGGAAGAATACATGTAAGATGCTTAGTACAGAATCTGACACATTGTGAAAGTTCGGAAAATGGTAATTGTTCTCATTTTACTATAGGGCTGTGAGTCTAGAGAAATGTTAGTAATACAGATAGCAATCATTGTAATTATCACCTCTATTATAGGGGAGATGAGTCCCATACTCGACTGCTAACTGAAAGGTTGGCGGTTCAAGTTCACCCAGAGGAGCCTGTAAAGAAAGTCCTGGTGAACTACTTCCAAAAAATCAGCCATTGAAAATCCTATAGAGCACAGTTCTACTCTGACATACATGGAGTTGCTATGAGTTGGAACTGACTGGAGGGCAACTGGTTGGTTATTAGAGGGGAGAAGGACTAAAAGCAGAGACCAGATAAAAAACAAATCATAGAAGTCCAGATGAAGGCCTAAACTAGGATATTAGCTTGCAGGGGGAGGGGTAGGGAATGGGAAAAGGATAGAACAAAGGCTATAGAGACAGAGTTGATTGATTGGGTTTAATAAGGAATAAAGAGGAGTATATAGGAGAGACAAATCAACTATGACACTGAAGCTACAAACATCCAGAAGTAGAGAGGAAGGTGGTGTCATTACAGAAATATGAATCAAAGAAATAGGAACAATGCCATTTTATAGCATTACCTATTATCAATTAGGATTGTTTATGCTCCAAAATTGGTTGATGAGGTTGAGGCATTTCCCAATAGCATATTTCACTGAAAGATTTCTAGAGTTGATATTTTAAAAATTGATAAAAAAAAATTTATAGAATATAAATTAGGTATAAAGAAATGTTATAAGCCTTTTCACCTAGCCTCATTTTTTAACAGATTAGGAAATGTCAGCAGAAGGCCTTTTAAAACACTGTTGGAAGTCATATCTATCAGAAAATCAAACATTGATTCTGTCTGGACTAGGTGAAATTGGGCCTTCAAAGGTCAAGGAGCTGAGTCTTTGAATGATGTATCACTGTGATAGCAGGGGGAACTGAATATGTGAAAGTAGGAAGAAATATTTTACAGGTTTGGAATTTCCTATTCAGAGAATGAAAGTGGAATTCTTTGTAGCAGTATACTGGGAAAATATAGAAGAGAAAGCAGGAATTCTCAATATCCAGATAATAGGGGAAGGAAGGAGAAATTTTATTTTTTATATTAGGAATTGTTCTTCTTTTTCTTTTTTTTTTAAATTAATCTTGATGTTGAGAAGTTACGGTAAAGGTTGTTGAAATCTTAGGTAATAAATTCAGCTAGAGGGTGCCATTATGATAGTAACAGGAACTCTGGATGTCTTACCCATGGAACTTTATTGTATGCACTCTCACAAAATACTTGTTGCTACTACACTTGTGTAGTGAGTTTGCCAGTCTTAAAGCTTAATGAAATAATCAAACCCATTGAAATTATCAGTTTGAGAGGGCCAGCCTTTGGGAGTCTGTGAATCTTAGAAAATGGATACAAGGGAAGTTCAGACAGGAAGGAGAGTCACTTATATATAAAATAAATGCTAGAGAGTGCTTACAGCTCTACAAATGAGGACAGACAAACTAAAGGCCAGAATGAGTTTTTTTTTTTTTTAATCAAAATTAACCGCCCCCCCCCGACTGTATTTGAAGCAGATATTGGAAAAAATAAAACAGACCCATGCTTGAAGCACGCATTAACAGATGATTGAGAGAAAGCAAATCCAATTTTTGTTTCTTTCAACCTGGACAGGGTAGAACAAACATGATAAAGGAGGAATTAAGTCCTCTAAATAGAAAGAATAGGACACCCTATAGCTGCTACAAATGACTTTACTTACATAAGCTCAGAGATTGTATACCAAATAACTGAAAGAAGTGCAGATATAGAATTATGTAATCATTGGTACTGTTCCGTGAGTAACAATGTTTAAGAGGAAACGTTCTGGAAATCTGGACTGGAATATATTGTTCTTTATATTGACCAGTAAGGGAAACAAGTTACATCTTGATTAGCTTAACCTATATTTCAGGCCAAGTTGGAGAGAATAGAAAATCTTGTTAAGTAAACACCCTGGATGGTGCAGACACTTAAGGGCTTGACTACTAGCCAAAAGGTTGGCAATTAGAACCAACCCAGAGGCACCTCGGAAGACAGGCCTGGTGATCTGCTTCTGAAAGATCACAGTCTTGAAAACCTTATGGAGCAGATCTACTCTATACAGATAGGGTCGCCATGAGTTGGAGTCAACTTGACAGCAACTAACAACAGAAAGGGAAGTAGAGAATACCATGAGTGGTCATGTTCTATTGGCTTTATATTCTTTTAAAATATGCTTACTTAGGGGAATGTAATAATCATATTGAGTGGTAATTCAGCCAGACATTTGACAAAGTCTCACATAACATCCTTGTAGGTAAGGAAACTACATGGTGGTAGTGGCCAATTTAGTGGATTAACCAAGAACTTGTATGTTTTTCCATTCAAAAACCACTTAAATACTTCTGTGTGCCAAGTATCATGCAAGATTGGGTTGAGATTACCAGAAATAATAAAGAGATTGGTAATTTTTTTAGGTGACAGAATATAGCTTCAAAAATATATTGAAACTTAATAGGTGATACCTAATAACGTGTAAGGTCGTATGTTTAGGTTCAGTTGGTCAGCTTCACAAATATAGACTAGATAGACCTTCGGTTCACTCTGAGCTTAATAGTTCCTGTGCAAAAGCCCTGGATTTTTACTTTATTAAGAGCTCGAAAAGTCTGCCCTGTTGTATTATTGCCAAAATAGTGAATTTAATTATAAGCTACTAAGTGTGTACCTGGAGTCCTGGTGGTGCAGTAGTTAAGAGCTCAGCTGTTAACCAAAGGTTGACAGTTCAGATCCACAAGCCAGTCCTTGGAAACCCTGTGGGGCAGTTCTACTCTGTCCTATAGTGTCGCTATGAGTTAGAATTGACTTGACAGCAGTGGGTTTTTAACTTTGTACCTGGGGTAACATTTGTTGTTCTAACAGATTTTGAGTTGTTACTAATAAAATAGTACTACTATTTATTTAATATGTTTGTCTTGCTGTAATAATTTGTATCATATCTTTCATATTTTAACAAAGTTTGTTGCCTTTTTAGCTGATATTCTGTTTGATTAATTTTGTGACATTTTACTCTTTTTCTTATTCCCTTTTGTTTTTTTTTTCTTATTCTCTCATTATTTTGGTATTGCTCGTTTGATCTTATCTTCAATGTGTCATTAGCATCTTTCTGCATTTCTCAGATTGTACTTTGTTTAGCTATTTCTGTACTTTTAAAACTCTTTAAATAGGCATTCACATATATAAAAGTCTTATAAAATCACTGCCTACTTGTTACCAGTACTATCAACCTTTTAAAAATAATACCAACCAGTTGTCATCGAGTCAGTTCTGACTCATGGCAACCCGATGTGTGTCAGAGTAGAACGGTGCTCCATAAGATTTTCAATGGCTGATTTTTTTCAAAGTAGATCACTAGGCTTTACTACACGGGCATCTCTGGGTGGACTTGAACCTCTAACCTTTTGGTCAGTAGCTGAGCACATTAACCGTTTGCACCACCTAGGGACTTTAAAATAATAGGCATAGTGTATCCTACAATTAACTAATACCTGTGTGTTCATTGACTGGAGCACTTCTATGAAAACCATGCCAACTTCAACCTTGGGAAAACAAGCCTAAACATTTTATAAATATATATTGAATGAATTTGAACAATAGCAGTATAGTGTCAAGAAAAAGAATTAGTTAATAATTCTGTTCTGTACATTGGCTGTTATATTCTGCCCTGAGTAGCATATTTTAAAAATACTGGTAAAGGAAAGAGGAAGAAAACTAAAAGAACTGTGAACACTGTCACTTTTGAGAAACAGCTGAAACAATAGAGAATGTGTGGAAGAGAGAGAAATTATAGGACAAATAATAAATGCCTTCAAATATTTTAAAGGTTATTATATAGAAAATGGCATAGATTGTTCAGTATGTCTGTTGTTGCGTGCCATCGAGTTCTTTCATACACATAGCGACTCTACAGAACAAGTAGAACTGCTCCATAAGGTTTCCAATGCTGTTGATTCCAACTCATAGCGACCCTATAGGACAGAGTAGAACTGCTCCAAAGGGTTTCCAAGATGCAGCTCGTGGATTCGAACTGCCGACCTTTTGATTAGCAGCCATAGCTCTTAACCACTGTGCCACCAGGGCTCCTCCAAGGCCATAATCTTTATGAAGTCAGACTGCCACATTTTTCTCCTGCAGAGCGCAAGTGGTTTTGAACCCCAACCTTTCGGTTAGCAGGCAAGTGCTTAACCACTGTACCACCAGGACTCCTGTGTGTATGTTTACGTAGGACAAAAGCAGCAATAATATATAGAAGTTGGAAAGAAAATTTTTTTTGTTATGTAGAGAGACAGCGGGGACATTGGTGGTTCAGTGGTAGAATTCTTGCCTTCCATGCCAGAGACCTGTGTTATTCCTGGCCAGTGCACCCCATGTACAGCCACCACCCATCTATCATTAGAGGCTTACATGTTGCTATGATGCTGAACAGGTTTCAGCAGAGCTTCCAGACGTAGATTAGGAAGAAAGGCCTGGAGATCTACTTCTGAAAATCAGCCAGTGGAAACCCTGTGGATCACAATGGTCTGATGCACAACTGATCGAGGGGATGTCAGTGGACCTGGCAGCGCTTGTTTTGTTCTCTTGTACATGGAATCACCATGAGCTGGGTCCTACTGGATGGCAGCTAACAACAATAGGGAGACAATTACTAACAATTAGAGCTATTAACAGTGAAAACGATTACCCTGTGAGACAGCAAGTGTCTCACACTGAGAATATGAAAGTGAAGATTACATCAGGTCTGTTAAAAATAGAGTTTTGCATTGGGTAGAAGGTTGGACTAGATGACCTCTTATAGCTCTGCAGAGAGTGATTTTATTACAAAGTGTGATTTGTAATAAAATACAAAAGGTTTAATGGAAAAGCTGTTTCGTATATAATAAAGGGATATTATTTTCAAACTTTTGAGACAGGAGAAAGAAGAAATTGGGTGGGCATGGGTAGAAAGAAAGTTTGCCTGTTCAGAGAGAAGGGAAAGTATCAGGCTAAGATCAACTGAAAAAATTTAAATCAATATGAGATGAGGCTTAAACAGAGTCTCTATCTAGACCTCACGGTCCTAATTTGTAACCACTTCCAGGTTGACACAGCATCTGTTACTACTTCCTAGTCCCTCTCTTGGAAACCCTGGTGGCATAGTGGTTAAGTGCTACAGCTGCTAACCAAAGGTCAGCAGTTCAAATCCACCAGGCGCTCCTTGGAAACTATGAGGCAGTTCTACTCTGCCCTATAGCGTCGCTATGAGTTGGAATCCACTCAGTGGCAGTGGGTTTTTGTTTGTTTGTTGTAGTCCCTCATCTCTCTCATTTTCCCTTTCAGCCTTGACCTAAATGCCCCCTCCCCACCTTTTGTTTGTTTGTTTGTTTTGTTTTTTCCAATTCAGAGTATAGTGATTTTGTATTTATGGAGACTTCTCAAAATATGCCAGAAAGACACCTTTTTGGAAATTACCTGGCTCTCACCCCAGCTGTTTTGTGTGTATATCTAAGGATAGGTTGAAGGGGGTGGAGGGATAGAAAATAAGGAAGAACATGATTAGATATGGTAATCCTGGGTATGTGGAGCAGTGGATGCAGAAATGATATTGTCTTCTAGCTCGTACAAATGGGATCATGTCAGGCTTCTCCAGATTAGCTTCTCATCCATTCTCATCCTTTTGATTTCTTTTGTGACCTCTAGCTTGAGAATTATTATCTTGTCTATTATGGAGCCCTGGTGGCGCAGTGGTAAGAGCTACGGCTGCTAACCAAAAGGTCGGCAGTTCGAATCCACCAGCTCCTTCTTGGAAACCCCATGAGGCAGTTCTACTCTGTCCTGTCGGGTTACTATGAGTCGGAATCGACTTGGTGGCAACGTGTTTGGTTTTTGGTTCTAGTCTGTTATGGAGCCTTGGTGGCACAGATTGAGAGCTATGGCTGCTAACTGAAAGACTGGCAGTTTGAATCCACCAGCCACTCCTTGGAAACCCTATGGGGCAGTTCTACTGTGTCCTGTAGGGTTGCTATGAGTTGGAATCAAATCTACAGCAAAGGTTTTGGCTTTAGTCTATTACAGTTGAGGAGGGTGGGCTGCTAGATAGTAACATAATTTTAGTAGCTGAAGTTATCTTCTAATTTGACCGGGATCATACTTGATAACACTACAGTTGTATTTCAGATATTTCAACATTACTACTTTTCTATTGAAATGATTATTTTAATCCTTAACAGTGATGTTATTATCAGTGTTGAACTTCAGTTGGTAAAAGGATATATATATATGTATATATATAAAATCTCAACTTATCTTTTGTTGTTTGAAAATACCTGTATGAACTTTCACAAAGTCAATTTGCAATAACTTCTTTTGCAGGGACTATAGTAGGACGTGTTAATAAAGCAAAGTAAATCTACTTTTCTTTTTTAAGTTACAGTTTTCAGATCTTTTTTATTCAGTTTTATTATTATAGGGCCAAATTAGGCAAATTATTTGAGTCTGAGATGATTTTTCTAACGATCATTCTCACCATTGAGTTTTAATATTCTAGATCACTGTGCAGAAATACCCATAGAAGCTCATCCGAAGAAGATGATTCCTCTTCAGAAGAAGAAATGGAATGGAGTGATACTAGTTTGCTTCTAGCGAATCTTTCTATACCTCAGTTAGATGGAACTGCAGATGAAAATAACGGTAAATAAACAAGTCTGCTGCGAGCAGTTATTTAGAAGCTAAAAGTATTTTTGGTTTTGAAACTATAGTCACACTTCCTATATAGTTGGCTAAGTGAGGTTATAACAATACTATTATGTTTATTCTTTCTCAGATATCTTCTTTTGGAAGAATGTAAATACGTAATTCTTTCTCGTTTCTAAGAAGGTTAAAAAAGGAAAAAAAAAGTTGCCATCAAGTTGATTCTGACCCATGTGTGTCAGAGTAGAGCTGTGCTCCATAGGATTTTCATTGGCTGATTTTTTAGAAGTAGATCACCAGACCTTTCTTCCAAGGTGTCTCTGGGTAGACTCAAACCTCCAGCCTTTCAGTTAGCAGCTGAAGGCATTAACCATTTCCACCACCCTGGGACTCCTCTAAGAGTATAACATTTGTTAATCACTAATTTCAAGCTTCCTAAATTTTAACCTAAGAAACTATTTAAAAAATATGCTGAGCTTATTTAATTTTCAAAGTCTTTAGCTCATATGTCATTTTTGTAGAAAAATGTTTAAAACATAGACCATTTGAAGTGATAATGCAAAGAAGCAAATTATTTTATGAAAAATTTTTGAGGCAGCAGTATTTTTCCCTTATTCCCTAAAAAGGCACTGAATATTAATTGGATCTATTTCTGATCAAAGTAATATTTGCTTAAAATATGACTAATAATCAGATGTAACTAACTCTTGAGTACTTAGGTCAGTGGAATTATCTTAGTGATAGGAGTAACCTTTTGTTGAAATACCCATTTTAAACCTACAAACTTAATTTTATGTAATTTCATTCATAGTGATAATATCTTGGTATGAGAAAAAAATTGTTTTTAAAGTGAGAATGAAATTCTTTTTTTCCCCTCCATTCTAGATAATCCATTGAACAACGAAAATTCTAGAACCCACTCTTCTGTCATCGCAACAAGCAAGCTATCAGTAAAACCCTCCATTTTTCACAAAGATGCTGCAACATTAGAACCTCCATCTTCTGCTAAGATTACCTTTCAGTGTAAACACACAAGTGCCCTTTCTTCCCATGTTTTGAACAAGGAAGATTTAATTAAAGACCTTTCACAGCCAAACAACATAGAAAAAGGTCTAGATCGTTCAGTTGCTTCTTTTACAAATGAAAGTACTTACTCTGCGAAATACCCTGGATCTTTAAATAGTACTGTTCATTCAGAAAACTCTCATAAAGAAAGTAGTAAGAAAGATATCTTCCCGGTATCTTCCTGTGAAAATAGAATTTTTGATTATGAAGAAGATATTCCATCTGTTACTAGACAAATACCAAGTAGAAAGTATACAAACATTAGAAAGGTTGAAAAGGATGCCCCTTTTATACATATGAATCGTCATACTAGTGAAAGTACGTTAGGCAAAAACTCTTTCAACTTTTCTGACTTAACGCACTCAAAAAATAAATTATCCTCCGAAGGAAATGAAAAAGGTAACAGCACAGCTCTCAGTAGTTTATTCCCTTCATCTTTAACTGAAGATTGTGAATTGCTGTCATGCTCAGGGGAGAATAGAACTATGGTGCATTCTCTTGATAGCATTGCTGATGAAAGTGGACTAAATAAACTTAAAATTAGATATGAAGAATTTCAGGAACATAAAACAGAAAAACCAAGCCTCAGCCAGCAAGCAGCACATTATATGTTTTTTCCCAGTGTTGTTCTTTCTAATTGTCTCAGTAGACCACAGAAACTATCTCCTGTCACATATAAACTACAACCTGGCAATAAACAATCCCGGTTAAAATTGAGTAAAAAAAAACTTGTAGGTCATCAAGAGACTTCTGCCAAAACTGGTGAGATTGGATCCACAAAAGATAATTGTATACAAAATAATTCTTGTAATAGTAATCCTGAGAAGGATAATGTATTGGCCAGTGACTTAATTAAAGCCACCCGTGGCACTTTAGAAAATAAAACGCCTACAGACACTTTTATAGACTGTCACTTTGGAGATGGAACCTTAGAAACTGAGCAGTCCTTCGGACTGTATGGAAATAAATACACACTTAGAGCCAAACGCAAGGTAAATTATGAGACTGAAGATAGTGAATCAAGTTTTGTAACACACAACTCAAAAAGTAGCCTACCTCATCCCATGGAAATCGGTGAAACTTTAGATGGAACTCTCAAATCTCGAAAACGAAGAAAAATATCAAAAAAGCTGCCCCCTGTCATCATAAAGTATATTATTATTAATAGATTTAGAGGAAGAAAAAACATGCTTGTGAAGCTAGGAAAAGTAGACTCTAAAGAGAAACAAGTAATATTAACAGAGGAAAAAATGGAACTATATAAAAAGCTTGCACCTTTGAAGGATTTTTGGCCAAAAGTTCCTGACTCCCCTGCCACCAAATACCCCATTTATCCACTAACACCAAAGAAGAGTCACAGAAGAAAATCAAAACATAAGTCTGCTAAGAAAAAAACTGGTAAGCAACAAAGGACAAATAGTGGAAATCTTAAAAGAACTTTATCTTTCAGGAAAAAAAGGTCACATGCTATTCTTTCTCCTCCCTCACCATCTTACAATGCTGAAACCGAAGACTGTGACTTGAATTATAGTGATGTTATGTCTAAACTAGGTTTTCTTTCTGAGAGAAGCACAAGTCCTATAAATTCTTCTCCACCTCGCTGCTGGTCTCCCACAGATCCAAGAGCTGAAGAAATTATTGCTGCTGCAGAAAAAGAAGCGATGCTTTTTAAGGGTCCTAATGTGTATAATAGCAAGACTGTTAATTCCCGCATAGGAAAAAACAGTCGAGTAAGAGCGCAGGTTAAGAAATCAAAAACAAAGCTTGTTAATCCCTCTGTAGTTACTAAGAAAAGGAACAGACGAAATCAGACAAGTAAACTAGTAGATGATGGAAAAAAGAAACCAAGAGCAAAGCAGAAACAAAAAACAAATGAGAAAGGTACATCAAGGAAGCACATTACACTTCAGGATGAACAAGTAAAAGCTCAGTCTGGTGCTGAAATAAAGTTTGTGCTGAAACACCGGAATGTGTCTGAGGTCTCGAATAGTTCTGGAGGCTCTCAACTACTTTTTAAACGGAAAGATATGTCACTCGCAGGCTCTGCTATAGATCACTCCCTTTCTGCTCCCCTTCCCTCTGGAATTAATACACAACAGAAGTTATCTGGCTGTTTTTCTTCTTTCTTAGAAAGCAAGAAGACTGTAGATTTGCAGACATTCTCCAATTCACGAGATGATTTGCATTCATCAGTTGTTTGTAGTTCTGTAGGACCTGGAATATCAAAAATTAATGTTCAGAGGTCTCGTAATCAAAGTACTGTGTTTACTTTAAAGGAATCAACGTTGATTCAAAAAAATATATTTGACCTTTCTAACCACTTGTCTCAGGTAGCACAGAATACACAGATATCTTCGGGTATAATGTCTCCAAAGACAGAAGAGAGTGCAGATACACAAAAAAACTATTTATCATCTGTCGGAAAGTTAAATGAATGTCATAATTCCCTAGAATCAAAGCTGGACCAGCCATTTGCCCCTAATTTTTTGCGTTGCAAAGACAGTCAGCAATACAGTATGTGTATGACAGAGCAGTCAAAGCACAGTGAAAGTTGTTCTGGAAATGCAGCTTCAGAGGAAAGCCAATTGCCCAATAATCGCTTTGTAACTTCCTTGAGAAGTCCAATCAGACAAATAGCATGGGAGCAAAAACAAAGGGGCTTTATTTTAGATATGCCAAATTTCAAACCCGAAAGAGTAAAACAGAGGTCATTGTCAGAAGCAATTTCACAAACCAAAGCACTTTCTCAGTGTAAAAATCAAAATGTGTCAGCAACACCTTCAGCATTTGGTGAAGGACAGTCTGGACTAGCTGTTTTGAAAGAATTGTTACAAAAAAGACAGCAGAAAGCACAAAATGCAAATATTATGCAAGACCCGTTATCTAATAAACATCAACCAAACAGAAATGTTTCTGGTTCCCTTGAACATAAAGCAGTTAAAAGAACACGATCAGTAACATCTCCAAGAAAACCTCGAACTCCCAGAAGTGCAAAACCTAAAGAAAAAATTCCCAGACTTTTAAAAGTAGACTCTCTAAATTTACAAAACTCTGGTCAGTTGGATAACTCCTTATCAGATGATAGTCCCATCTTTTTTTCAGACCCAGGTTTTGAAAGCTGTTATTCACTCGAAGATAGCTTGTCTCCTGAACATAATTACAATTTTGATATTAATGCAATAGGTCAAACTGGATTTTGTAGTTTTTATTCTGGAAGTCAGTTTATCCCTGCTGATCAGAGTTTGCCTCAGAAGTTCCTAAGTGATGCAGTTCAGGATCTTTTCCCAGGACAAACTATTGAAAAAAATGAATTTTTAAGTCATGATAACCAAAAGTGTGATGATGACAAGCATCATGCCTCAGACCCAGCCTCATGGATTAGATCTGGTACTCTAAGTCCTGAACTTTTTGAGAAATCATGCATAGATAGCAATGAAAATCATCGCCACAACCAGTGGAAACATAGTTTTCATCCTCTAACAACTCGGTCTAATTCAATAATGGAGTCTTTCTGTGTCCAGCAGGCAGAGGACTGTCTAAATGAAAAATCCCGATTGAATAGGAGTTCACTAAGCAAAGAAGTATTTCTCAGTCTGCCACAGCAGAGCAATTCAGACTGGATTCAAGGTCACACCAGAAAAGACATGGGACAGACTCTTGACTCAGTCAATACCTCTTTTACTACAATTCTGTCCTCCCCTGATGGTGAACTTGTGGATGCGGCCTCTGAAGATTTAGAAGTGTATGTTTCCAGAAATAATGATATACTGACACCAACTCCTGATAGTTCACCAAGGTCTACTAGCTCTCCATCACAATCTAAAAATGGCAGTTTCACCCCTCGAACTGCTCACATTCTGAAACCACTTATGTCCCCACCAAGTAGGGAAGAAATTATGGCAACTTTGTTGGATCATGACCTTTCAGAAACTATTTACCAGGAACCATTTTGCAGTAATCCTTCTGATGCTCCAAAAAAGCCCAGGTAATCAGAATAATTTTTCTCCTTTAGGTCACTCAGTTGAGTAATTGTAATGTACATAACAGCATTTGGTACCTGACTCTTAGTTTTCTGGATGTGATGCTGTATTTCTAAGTATGTCATTGTGAAAACTATGTATCATTATAGGCTTATTAAGAAAATTCACAAACTAGCTGGATGGTTCACCTAGAGAAATTTATTCATGAATATTGAACTTGGACTGGCTATAATTGAACTGTTTCTCCATTAAGGATTAGAGGTGCAGAGGCTCACTGTGATATGATGCAAAATTAAGAAAGCTGCCATAATACTTTAAAGGTATTATAATTATCATTTTAAAATAATATTCATTTTTAAAATGGTATGCTTTTATAATTTTTAAAAAGAATTTCATTTTTTGAAGTATTTGAAAAGCAGCATACATATTTATAAGTACCCTTTTGATACATCTCTAAATGAAGATTACTTTAAGTTGGTTCTATTGTATACCACTTTCTTTTCATGTTGCCAATATCTCAGTCATATTGTTAGTATTGTTAGTTTGCACAGTATTAGGAGTACAGCCATAGAATTTGATTCCCATTATGTCTCCTTTGTTTTAAAAATATTTTCAGGGAAGTGATAAATAGGTAGACAGACAGACATGCATGCACACATACACAGAGGCCGATAGCAAAATGAGAATCACAATACTGGTTTATCAGGGTTGAGTAGGTATCCTATCCCATCTCTATCAACAAGGTAGGACATATTTAATAAAAGCTGAATTGGAGAATATGCATAACCCAGGAGGTTTAAGTGATGGTTCTTATTCTTGCCCCCTGTGTCCGTAAAACAGACTATGATCCCATTTACCAAACCAGTTGCAAGGGAGACAGCTCACTTCAACCATGCAGTCAGAGCAGAGGAGGATGGCTGTGGCTGCTAAGGCAGGACCCGCTTAGTCTATGTGATGGAAGGAAATATGAAGAGCCAGCTAAGGCAAGAGGCCCCACTGCATGTGTGCACTGACCTTCAGCAGCACAGTGTTCCTGACTCGAGTAGAAAAGACACAATGAGTGTCAGGCTTTTTACAAAGCCAGCAGGTTAGCAATCATTCTTGCTGTAGTCCATTTAATAAAGAGGTGAAAAAAAGTGACCAGAAACATAAGATAGAAATTTCTTCCTGTAAGGACTTGAAGTGAAGGGCAGAAACATTTACCTGCTTCCCACTAGACAGTTTTGTTGTTGTTTGGGTTTTTGTTTTTGTTTGCACTCACATATGGTACTTTAACTTGAATGAGACTCTTTATCCCACTCTGAGAATCAGGGACAGATTATCCAATAGACAAGGTAAGCATAGTGCTTACCTTGCTTACCAGATCATCTGTAGTGAACACTTTCACATTTTTTCCACCACATCAAAGATTCTGCTTCAAGGTATGGCTGGCATCTGTCTCTCTCCAACCCCACAGCACCCTCCTACAGAATCAAAGCCTCTTTTCAAATTTACAGTCCCCTAGAATATGTGAATGTCTGCTCCTTAGACATTATTTTGAGGCTTTTACTTTATCAGTAGTGATTATGGTATGTTTTTTAATTGAACTACTTTTTCTACCTCAGTCTTACACATCTGTTTTAATTTTTTAGTTACCAAACTTATAATATGCTAGTCATTAACTCTGTGGCACTGTTAGTTTGTTGGCTTATTATCCTATAGCTAAAATAAAAGGATGACAGTCATTTTTGAATAACAACTTTTTATATAAAACTACATGTTCAATATAGAAAATTTAAGTATAAAAGAAGAAATAAAAATCACAACATTTCACTACCTTGTGACAACCACTATTAATATTTTATGTTTCCTTACAGTTTTTTTATGTATAATTTTTGTTTATTTGTTTTGTAAAGTGTGATCTGACTATAGCCACAGTACTGTATCCAGATTTATTCACTTAACATTATAAGCATTCTTCCAAAACTATCCATTTCTTGAAGTATCATTTTAATAGCTGCATAATATTCTATCATCGGTGTATTATTGTGACAGAAAGGTTGTTTCCTGTTTTTGCTGTTATAGATAATGATGTGATTAGAATCTGTTCATAAAGCATTCTTAGTATTTTGGAGTTTTTCCCTATAGCTCTAGAAGTAAGATTACTTTAGGCTCTTGATAAATATTATGAATTTTTTTCTCAATCAGTTATAGCAATTGCCCTCCTGCTGACAATATTCAAGAAAGCTGGATTTACTACACTTCAATTCTTGTTGTTCTTGACTTCTTTATAACTTCTGTATCATTAATACTAGAGTTGGTTAGGGTCCTATGGTATGTGTACTTCACTCCCTTCCTTCCACAGCAATAATTCTGTTTCTGATTTTTCTTATGATGGGGCTGGGGTTGGTATAGTGAACGTACTAGATGCTGGTTATGATGTTAACTAGTTGGGGACAAAATCTTGCCATATAAAAGGAGAGGAGAAATTGTGATCACCCTAATGTCTCTTCTTCAGCTCCAGTTTAGAAAACTTGAATCCAGTTAATTTTTATCTAGAGAATTACCAGGACATTTGGAGAATCGTGTCCTGAGAGAAGTAGTGGCAAAAAACTAAAAACTATATTATCCATGAAAGAGTTATAATGTGGAAGAAAAAGTGGCGTTAATTTATGTTGCTATAGAAGGCAGAAATAATATCAATGTACATATGTTAGAGAAAGAGGTTTAATTCAATATTTATAACTATTGGAAACTAAACCAAGCTATCTTTAATTAGTAAGTAATTCCCCCACATATACATATATTACTAGCATTTAAGCTGTGCATTTTCTGGTCTCTTCCAATTCCTGAATTCTTTGATTTTTTTTGGCTAATCTTAGCCCTTATGTTAGTGTTATACCTTCCCATGTAAAGGGGAAAAGAAATTATGATAATTTACCCCAATTGTGTGTGATTTTTTAATGTCTGAGGGAATTTAGGGGATACAAAGATTTGTATGTTTGGACTGACTGGCTTTGCTAAACTACTTAACACATACTAGAAGATATAGAAAGAGGCTATTGATAAAATCTGGTAATACAGTCTATGAATAATAAATTCCTCCTTTTTTAATCCATATGTGTTGACAGTGGAAAGTTATTTACTACGAGTAGAGGAAAAGCATCTGATGAGTTTGTGCCATCTCCTTGAAGGAAAGGAGGCTTCATGGGGCACTAAAACAAAAAATAACTTTCTATCTCTGATACTGATGATACCTTCCAAAGGAAATTTATCTAGTAGTCATGTATGTGTGAGGAAAAGCATATTGAGACTAAAGATATCGTGTATCAGCATAAGATGGGATTGGGGAGAGAAAGAGATGATGAGTATTTTTAAGATTCCAAAAGAGAATCAAAAAGTCTCTAGGATAGGAAGCTAAATATTTTGGTAATTACTCTTTGAGACAAAAGGGTTCTAAAATATGTCGTTTATATAGGGAGATTGGTGGAAGACTCCTCATGGTAGAAACTCGACTTCCAAATGATCTGGCTGAGTTTGAGGGAGACTTTTCCTTGGAAGGACTTCGTCTGTGGAAAACAGCATTCTCAGCAATGACTCAGAATCCAAGACCTGGGTCACCCCTTCGCAGTGGCCAAGCAGTTGTCAATAAAGGATCAAGTAATAGCCACAAAATGGTTGAAGATAAAAAAATTGTAATTATGCCTTGCAAATGTGCCCCCAGTCGACAGCTGGTTCAAACATGGCTTCAAGCCAAAGAAGAATACGAACGTTCCAAGAAACTGCTTAAAACTGAGCCAACTGGAGTTGTAAAATCTGCTGAGAACTTTAGCTCTTCAGTTAACCCAGATGACAAACCTGTAGTGCCTCCAAAAATGGATACAGCACCACATATACTCCCCACTACAGCATATACCAAGGAAGATGTTGATAATTCTCAGATTGCTTTACAAGTGTCAACCACAGAATGCAGTAGAACTACAAGTGAAAGTCAAATGCTGCCACCAGTTGCTTCTGCAAATGATCTTGAGAAAGATGAAGATGATGATGATGACTTTTATGTTAGTTACAGTTCCCCTGATTCTCCAGTAATCCCCCCTTGGCAACAACCAACATCCCCAGAGTCCAAAGCATTAAATGGAGATGGTAGAGCTTCATCACCAGTAGAGGAGCTATGTTCCTTGACTGTTGAGAACTTTTTAAAGCCAATAAAAGATGGTACACAGAAAAGCCCCTGCAGTGAGCCTAGGGAGCCTCTGGTGATATCTCCAATTAATGTTAGGGCAAGAACTGGGAAACGTGAATCACTTTGCTTTCATAGTACACCAATCATACAGAGAAAACTTCTGGAAAGGCATCCTGAAGCAGCTGGTGTTACCCCTTTATCAACAGGTAAGTGTACAAATAACAGAAAGGCTCCCTCATTATTCTTCAAAGATAAGAAATGCAGACAACATTAGTCTATGTAATGAAAATCAGAGCTTTTTTAAAAAAAAAAAAGTTTTAGCTCAGCAAATGAGAGATTATTTCTATTCTGTAATGTCTTAGAATGTCATCACATGGAAACTTTTTTGGCTTTCTGTTGTAAAACTTACTTATATTGCTTCCCGTCCTGTCTTCCTACCTTCTGGGTGAATATAGGAGCCCTTTCAGGAACCCTACATTCTCTTTCTCAGCTTGATTTTTCCCACTGGCTTTTAAATATACCCAAGTCTCTCTCATCTTTAAAAGCAGAAACAAAAAAAAAAACCTTCCCCACCTCTCATGCTAGCTTCCACTCTTTTTTTCTCCCCTTCAAAGCCAAATTTCTTAACAGATTTCTCTAATTTGACAATTGGATTTCTTTACCTCATACTCATTTCTTAGCCCACCATAATATGGGTTCTCCCCCCATCATTTAACCAGTATGGCCCTTGTAAAGATTTCCAGTACCCTTGTAGCTAAAACCAATGAACATTTTCAGTCTTCTTATCACATACCCTGTAAGTATCCGTTGTCCTATTAGACTACACCTTCCTTCCTGGAGCTCCGTGTCCTCTTGGCTTTCTTCCTTGATGTACGTCCATGTTAAATGTGATTTCCTTTGAAGCATATCCTACTATTCTCTGTCATTATCTTAATGTTGGGGTTTATTAAGGCCTGGCCTTAGGCTGCCTTCACTTTTTACTCTATACCCTCTCCCTAAGTTATCTAGTTCCTGTTCTCAGGATTACTACAGATAACTCATAAATTTATATCTTCAGCTCAGAACTGTTTTAAGCTGCAGACCACTATATTCAAATGCCTCTATGACATTTCTACTTGAATGCTGAAAAGTACCTCGAAGTTAGTATTTTTAAAAATCGTGAGCTCACTGCACATTCCCCTACCCCAGCACACTCATACACACACATACATGCCTGCACAAACAAACCCACCTGGTCCTCTTTTGGTTTTTCTTATTTCAGTGAATAGTACCACCATCTCTCAGTCACTTAAGTACACAAGTCAGAATTCATTTTTAACAACGCCATCACTGCACACCCTCCGGTTTCCAATCCATTACCAAGTCCTGTCGCTTTATCTCCTAAACGACCCAAATCTATCTTTTCATTCTGCCTCTGCTGCCAAGGTGTCATCATCTCTCTGCTGGGCTCCTGCAGTAGCCTTCTTATTCACTCAACAATCTCTTCTCTACTAGTTTTGCACAGAAGTCAAGGTAAATCCCCACCCCATTCCCAGTTAATTACTACTACTTTCTTTTCAGATTTTAGTTCAGGGAAGCTGTTTCTGATATCCCTGATTAGATAAAAAGCTCTAATTATATTCCCCTTTGTTGTACTCACCCCAGTTAAATTTTGTTTTTTTATTTGTATGTGATGAATGTCTGATTCTCTCTCTAGATTCCTCAGCACCATAAATAGTTGATAAATAAGTGAATAAATGAATTAAGTTATTCCCCGGGATAATTATTTAGACATTAAATTCAGTAATGAAAACCTAAGCATGTTTATTTAAAAATACAAAATTTTAAGGTTATTTTGATGGAGTTTAAAGGTTTGAATTAGTTTCATTTTTAAATTACGAAGTCTTCAGAGAATTTATAGGGCAGTACTCACAAATAATACTTAATGTTTGGAACAACCAAAAGTTTAAAAAAAAAAAACAGAAGCAGGTAATTTTGATGTACATGTTCAACGTGAAATTTCTTTCTACAGAACCAATAACCCAGAAATTGAATCATAAGAGAGGAACTAATACTGACACTCTTAGAAGAGTACTTGTAACAACACAAGCAAAGGTAACTATACTAAACATAAAGATGAGTGGAAGATCCATTCTTATTCTTAGATTTCAGTTAGATAAATAATGACTTTGTGTCTCAATTTAAAAAACATTTTTATTATATTTTTGCATCATTTATTTACATATCTTTGAGACAACAAGAAATTACCTAATTTTCTTTTTTAGTTTTTTTTTTGGTTGTTGTTGGGATCTAAAAGATTCTTATATGTAAATACAAATGTTACAGAGAAAGTGAATATGATAGCCAAAATGTGGATTATGAGGATACAAATACATTAACTGATTACTGGCAAAATCAGAACAATCCAATGACAGCAGAGCTCAAGTAAGTGATTTTTGATCCCACCAAAAATATCCTTTGTCTTGGTTTATGACTTTTTTCTCAAATATAACATTATTGATTTTTTACAGCGTAGCAAAGGGAAGCAACATGATTTACTACTGAATCTCTGAAATACTGTAAATGTCTATTCAAATACTAAAATTAAGACAAAACTTAGAAGTGTGTGGTTACATGAAAAAAGTATCCTTGGAAATATATGATGATAAAACTCATTTCCATATTGGCTACTTCTCATTAATATCATTCACTACATAGAATATATCTTAGCATTTCTATTTTAAGACTATGAATACTAAAAAAAAAACTTTCAGCAATATTGTTGAGTTACAATCTGTATATATTAAAAACAAGTACCAGTGTATTGTGAACATAAATCAGCACTTCGGCAAAAACAGTTCATGCATTTGGAAGTTAGATAAACTGTTTTTTAAAAATGGAAGGATTCTACATTTTTCAAACCCTTGGAGATTATTTACAATGATTTATTTACTTCATCTTTCAAAGAACATGTTGTGTTATGGTAGACTATAAATCCAGAATTTTAAATTTTCATAAGCTTTAGCCAAATCAGTTGCAATATATTGATTGCTCCTCATACATCCAAGAAAGGTTAAGATAAATGTCCATGTGGTGTAAATGTCAACTTTTCTACGAGACAATTATTTTTATTATTTTGGGTTTGTAAACTCAAAGATCAACATATGGTTTACTTAGAGATTATATCAGCTGTTTCTACATATATCCTGTTCTGGTATCTTGAATGACTAGCATGAAAAGTTGTTTGTAATATGGTTTCTTAGAATTAAAGAGATGATATTAGTTCATCATTTATTACTAAACACATAAAGCATATTGTGTAAGTTGGAAAAAGTAATCAGAAAATGATTGCTCATTTATTTCTTTCTGGCTGTGTGTGTTTTTTTCAATAGAATCAGTTTGCAGCAGTAAATACCCCAAAGAAAGAAACTTCTCAGATTGACGGACCATCTTTAAATAATACTTACGGTTTCAAAGTCAGCGTGCAAAACTTACAGGAGGCAAAAGCTTTACATGAGGTAAAACTGCAACAGTAAGGACACATGCACTGTGCTTAACTGTTATGTGTTATTCTATAGAACAAGTATAGAAAATTGTTCATGAGGGAGGAATACATTGAATTCTATTTGTTAGTCTCCACTTTGTTCTTGTGATTCTGACTATTCTATGTATTTATATAAAGTGGGTAGAAACACTTTTTAAAAGAGCCGTCAGTTGCTGAGGTTGCTTTGTGGTATCACAACTTCATAAATCTTATAATTTCAGTTTATAGAAGCTAAAAGTTGAAAAGATTTTTAAACTATTGGGAAGTCTATATACGGCTAGTCCCTGACTTACAACAGGGTTCCATTCCAATGACTCCACTGTAAGTTGGTTCCGACTTAAGTTGAATACCTCATTTTTTTTTCAAGTTTTCATTATCATTGCCTTTTATTATCACTATCTTTCTAAATCCAGTCTATCTTTGCCTTTGGGGGTTAACATGAGAATGATAACAGCAATAACGCACTGCACCATTGTATGTAGTACGTATTACTAACGATACGAAGTGCAAGAAGAAAAAGGACAGTCATTAAGTGCAGTTCATCATAACTCAAATACGTCACTAAGTCAGCACTACCTATATTGTTATTCTGTTTACCCAAATATGATACTTACTTGTATTTTCTGTTTGGTTTGCTCAGTGAATTAGAGCTTGCTACAAAAGAGGATAAACTCATTCACTCACATAATCTCTACATAACCCAGTTACCTTCACACCACAGGCCATATGCCATAGGAAGTTGTCTTGTAAAAATGTACATAAGTCACAGTGTGAACTGAAGAAAATGTGTGGATGAATCAGTACAGATTTATCTGTATTACAGAAAATGCAATTCAAAGCACGTATCTAACTGGCAGTAACCTGGAATTCAGACTGTATTTTCATTGTTTTTGCTTGGGCTGTTCAGTAATGAATAGCAACATGGCTGTTAACTTAAAATTCGACATATGCAACTTAATTTTTAATTTTCTTTAAATTTAATTAATTTAGATTTAAAAACTGATATTTGATTCAGTTATTGGAAAACTTTTAAGTGTGTTTGGACCTACTTAGGAATGAAAATTTACTTTTTCAAATGCAAATTTTATGAAATCTAAATACAGATCAAGGATTTCCAAAGAAAATTTAGCTTCTGTATGGAGATGTGTCATAAATGTAAAATACATATTAATTTCAGAGACTTTGAGGAAAAAATAATGTAAAATATCACATTAATAATGTTTATCTTGATTGCATATTGAAAGGGTAAGATTTGAGATATTAGGTTAAAGAAAATATATTTAAAATTTATTTCTTATTTCTTTTTTAGATTTTTTTAGCACAGCTACTAAAAACTTAAAATTACCTATGTGGCACTCTTTATGTTTCTATTGAACAATGCTAGTTTATACATTTGTTTTATGTCTGCCTTTAGTTATGAATGGATTATTTGTTTAATTTTTTGGTTCAGGTAAATTCTCAAAGTGTTCTAAGGATTGGATTAGCATGGACTAAGAAAAATTTAAAAATTTTTCCTCATTATTTGCCCTAAATTTGAACTGAGAATCACATTTTTTTAAGAATTAGATTGGAACATAGTCCAACTCCTTCATTGGTCCGTTTGTGCATATTTCATTAAACAGCATTCATTTAGTTTCTGTTTTGTGCCTGGCCCTGTACTAGCCGCTCAAGCTCAGAAAAATTAAGTAATAAACTCAGGAATACATATTTTATCAGATGCACACTTGGAATTAAAAAAATTTGAAGGAAATACTTGGTTAAAATTTATTTATTAAAGCAAATTTGATTACGTTAACATCAACCTTATAGACCTTAGCAAAAAGATTTGTTACATTTGGTTATTCTTTTATTACTTGAAAAAGGTAAGCAGTCGGCTGCTAACCAGAAGGTCAGCAATTTGAACCTACCAGCCTCTCCATAGGAGAAAGATGTGGCAGTCTGCTTCTATAAAATTTTACAGCTTTGGAAACCTTATGGGGCAGTTCTACCCTGTCCTTTAGGGTCGCTATGATTCGGAATAGACTCTACAGCAATGGGTTTGGGTTTTTTTTGTTTTACTGTTACTTTATTGTGCATAGCCCCTTTTAGAATCCTGAGCCCTCTTGACCCTAAAATCACTCAAATCTGGCTGGTTGCTGATAGTTTCTTCCTCCCAGCACAGGCTTTCTTCACCTCAAGGAGCATTCCAAGCAGCCACCTGGTGGTCAAAACAGGAAATGGACCAAAAAAATCTCTGCACTGTACTCTTTTTTTCCTCAGGAAATTGTGCCCAGAGCATTGTTTTACTCTGTTTCACATTATGCTAGGGTAATCTGTCTCCCTTCTACATGCAAATATTCACTGCAGAAGATGTTATTATTTGCTGTGGAGTCAGTTCAGCTCATGGCTACCCCATGTGTCCCAAGTAGAACTCCTCCATAAGATTTTCAAGGCCGTGACCTTTCAGAAGCAGACCTCCAGACCTGTCTCCCGAGGCATCTCTGGGTGGGTTTGAACCACCAATCTTTTGGCTAGTGGTAGAATGTTTAACCATTTGTGCCACCCAAGGAGCCCGTGCAGGAGATGAACGTTGTAATCGTTGCCCCCTTTCTCACCTCCCTCTTGCCTAGTTACGCTCAGTAAATCTCTCTCTCCATCTATTTATTCCATTTGTTTGCTGAAAAAATGTCCCTAAGAGCAGCCATACACTTATTAAGGAATAAACCCGTTGCTGTTGAGTTGACTCCAACTCATAGAAATCCTATAGGACAGAGTAGAACTGCCCCATAGGATTTCCAAGGCTGTAAATCTTTATGGAAGCAGACTGCCACATCTTTCTCCTGGGGAGCTGCTAGTGGGTTCGAACCACCAACCTTTCGGTTAGCAGCTGAGCACTTAAACACCGTGCCACCAGGGCTCCTTATCAAGGGATAAAAAGGCTAAATTTAAGTGTGATATTTGGCCTAGTAAATGGTATTATTAACCTCCAGTACTCTTTTAACCTAAGTTGTCTTCACAATCTTTTCTATGTTTCTCCACATTTTCACTCTTCTGAAACTCTTGTGCGTTGTTTTGTTTGGGCTTGAGGGAGCGATTTTGTGTTTTGAATGTTTGTTTTTATGAAATAACTCATGTTTATTTTTTTAAAAAAAATCAAACAATACTGAAGAGTTTACATTTAAAACTAAAAGTTCTTTTCCTTAGCTCTTGATTTTACTTGGTTTTTTCTTTTTTTTTTTTACTATTCATATTTTTAATAGAAGCAACAATAAAACCAAAACCAAACCCATTGCCATCAGGTTGAATCTGACTCATAGCAACCGAATAGGACAGAGTAGAACTGCCCCATAGGGTTTGCAAGGAGTGGCCAGTGGATTTGAACTGCCAACCTTTTGGTTAGCAGCCAAGCTCTTAACCATTGTGCTATCAGGGCTCCTTATGCCTTACATGTGCATAATTAATGCTATTTATATATTTTAAAATAAATACTTAATAACAAATTAGCTAATGAACACAGGCAGTATTACATGTACGTGGTAAAAATTTCAAACAGATTTATAGTGAAAGTTTTCCCTCCCACCTTAGGCTCCCAGTCTCCTTCCCCAGAGTCTATGGCAATTCTTTTTTTTTTTTTTTTTTTTAAAATGTCTCTTTGCATATATTTTCTATGCATGTACTTAAACATTTTTCACTCTCACTGGTTCCACTTGTCAGTGTACTATGGTGATCTTTCCACATTAGGATACAGATCTAGCTTATTTTTTGAAAGTTACAGAGGTTACAGAATATGTATGCCGCATAATTTATATAACCAGTCTCCAAGTGATAGACATTTAGGTTTTTTCCAGTCTTTTGCCGTTACTATCTCAAGTGAACATTGTTGTGCATTTATTTTGGCTACATGTATATCTGTAGAATAAATTCTCAGGGGTAGAATGGCTACATCAAAGGATATGTCCATTTTGAATTTTGATAGATTTTTCTCAGTTGTCCTCCAAAGAGATTTACCAAATTATACTCCACCACTAGTGAGAGCCGTGTATTCTCATTGTTCAGTAGTTTGCATGCAAGATAAATACAAATCCTTTATTAAATTTTGTATGATCTGAATAATTGCCAATACTTTAACAGTAGTCTACTATTTTCCATTACCAGGTGTGTATACATGGTAAAATTATAAACTATAATTTTAGATATATTCATGAGTTAAATTAGCCTTTGTGGCTCATCCTATATTTTGTTTTTCTTACTCAGGCTTTCTATTAACTCTGTCTTGATTTTAGAAAGAGGTCTAAAGGACTACAGTTACAAAGAGTTTTTATTAGCATAGGAAAATAAGTGTGAAAAGCAGAACATTACATTTTTTGCAGTATATGTCAAAGAGAAAATGTGCATAGCCAAAATTGTGTGGTTGATATCATAACAGGTCTTATATTTTTCAGGAACAACTATAATTGAAAATTTGCATAGTACATTCAAAAGTCTGAATTTAAGTAGCCCTCAAGTAGTAGAGAATTAATAGGTAGGAGCTCTAAATTTAAAAAAAAAAAATCTCCTTTTAGTTTAAACTACAGGTAAACTGTAGTTATCTGGGTAAGGAATAAAATGTAACAGACTTTTGTTTGTATGTACAACCACTTGGACTAGTTACTCTCTTTCTCAAACAGAAATTGAGAGACAATAGTTTTAAGTATGTATTATCATTGAGAAATTATAGTACAAGCAGATTTTCAGAAATAAAAACATGAATTGATTTAATCCAGTCTTGAAAGTAAAAATCTTTAGTTTTAATCTGTAGAGTGTTAAATTGTGACCATGTCTTTTATCACTATTTTTTGTAATTTTACACACATATTTCTTTACAGTCTTTGAGAAACATACTTCTTTCAGCATGCCTTACAGAAAAAAAAAAAGGCATAATTTCTATTTCCTTTTCTAGATACAAAATCTTACCCTAATCAGTGTGGAGTTACATGCTCGAACTAGACGAGACTTAGAACCAGATCCTGAATTTGACCCCATTTGTGCTTTGTTCTACTGCATCTCATCTGACACTCCACTACCAGATACAGACCAAACAGAACTCACAGGTGTAATAGTGATTGATAAAGACAAGACAGTCTCCAGTCAAGGTATTGTTCATTTTTATTAACTATAAACCTACCCACCGTATGATGAACCTTTTAACAAGAGGGAATCTCTGTACTGAGATCTAAACCAAGCAAAAATAAGCAACTCCTTTCCAAAATGTTTGCTGAGGTAGGAGTAGGAAGCGTTGTGTATAACTTTGTCCTAGATTCATTATTCTTACTTGAGTTACTGTGAAAACTCAGAAGCAAGACAATATAAGGATCTTAATAAAATTTCTAATTAACATATCTAGTTTGTTGTAAGTATTATTTTATAAAATACTCATTGTGAATACTGAGTCCAAATGACTGTGAATCTTAAGGTTGGGTGGACAGTCTTCCTCATGTATTCATGTGCTGGTATTTTGCTACTAATATAGTGTTTCATTTTGCTTTAAGAAGTTAAGTTACTATTCTGAATAAGTTAATGGTTTATATAGAGACTTTTAAAATTTATTGTACCTTTGTGTATATCTCTTTCTAAATACATATTATACTTTGGTTAAGAGATTCTTCAGACAGCATGCCTTCTAAAGGATTTTATAGAACACCAAGTGTCCTTCTACAGTTTTAAATGGTAGCCATTACAAGTGAATTCAGTCAGCTGAGGAGGAAGTCTTAGAATAGAACAAAGCCATATAGACAGGGATTTGCAGTTTAATCAGTGGTGTGCTTGAGCTGGCTTGTACTGGCTCACCAGCACGTTGTTAGATTTTCAAGGATTTGGGGAGCTAGTTGATATCACATTAGTAGCTTAAAGTCCGCCATGGTGGGAAATCTTTACGTCACAGAAATAGGCAAACACTACAAATCAAGGTTTTGTTTTGTTTTGTTTTTTTTTTTGAGAGCTGATTGCTAAACAGTTTCCAGCATACCATTGATCTGATTAAAATATTCTCTCCTAAGCAAAGCTTTTCCTGTTAGGAAGAGTAGAGACAGAAACAAAGTTATAAAATTTCTTTATGGCTGATATGTTAATATCTAGGGAGTTTCATAAATGTAGACTTCCCAGGGAAATAACTGAAAATATAAAGTGAATTTTCAGTTAAATAATAAACTATAAATGTTTTTAAGAAATTGGGTTAATTATGTTTTTATTTTGGGCAGTGCTTTCTTAATTTGAAGTATTTCAGTAGCATAATTTCACTCAGAAGTAAGAGATATTATTTACATAATTATATGTAATAAACATTTTATTTCTTAGATATCAGATATCAGACTCCATTCCTTATCAGATCTGGAATTACAGGACTAGAAGTTACCTATGCTGCTGATGAGAAGACACTTTTTCAAGAAATTGCAGATATAATTAAGAGGTATTCTTTTGTATTTTCTGAGTTTTCCAGTTTTTGTTCAGCAAGTCCGTTCATGGTATTGCTGACAATACAGGTGAAGATGGGAAGAGAATTCCTTCCTGTGGCCCTTGACAGTAGAGAGAGATCTTTGGAAAGAAGATTTTGTGCCTACCTCCCACCACCACCACTTCTGTCAAATTGTTGTTGTTGTGTGCTGTCAAGTTGATTCTGACTCATAGTGACCCTATAGGACAGAGTAGAACTGCCCCAGATTAGGGATAGGAAAAAGAATATTCTGTCCTAAAAGTTGAAGGGCCAGTGAAGGAGAAATATTTCCTTAGCCTCTTCGTTTCCCAGCTGGATTTTAGGATGGGTTTTTATGGTGGCGAAATAGTTAAGAAGGTCTGGTAGCACAGCAGTTAAGTGCTCAGCTGCTAACCAAAAGGTTGGCGATTTGTACCCACCAGTGGCTCCGTGGGAAGAAGACCTGGCAACCTGCTTCTGGTAAACTTTACAACCTAGAGAACCCTGGGGCGGTCCTACTTTGTCATATAGAAATCTACTCTTTGACATCTAAAAAACAACATGCTAAAGTTGAATTGAATTATTCATTAAGTAGGCTTCTACCTTGGGGGCTCGCTTACCACATTAATAGTTTTTGTTTGTTTGTTTGTTTTTCCCTTTAGGAAAATGCCTTTAAGTTCTAAACAAGACATTTTTTCCAAAAAACTTTGGAACACAATCTGTTCATAATTTTGGACTACAGATTTCCCCCACTATCTGAACATAGAGTGTTCCTCTGAAACCTTTCATAAGTCGAAATGTCATAAAGCAAAGAAGCAAGTACCATTAATTTATATGTGAAAAATTTTTGAGCATCCCCAGACCCAAAAAATAACCTACCAAATCATAGCAAATAACACAAAGAACCTAAAATAACACTAGCATACAGCAGAAGCAGTAACGCTGAGTGTAGTTCCTGGGGAAGGAGCTTGGTGAGTCCACTCTCGCTTGCTCAGGGTGCCTCCTGCCTCTGACGGCTCTCTGCAAAACAAATGCAGAATGCTATTTCCGTTTTTTGCCTTTTTTCATTAAAGCGAAAAATCTTCTTCAGATTTCTTTTGGTTAGTGAAAACAGGTACTAATGTGTTTTCTATATACAAATTGGGTGAAAAGTTCCTGAGAAAATTGCTTCATTTCATAAATACTTATTGGTTAATAGAAGATCCAAATGAGCCACTTAACCAACCTATTAAAAAAAAATGTTTTCTTGGTAGACAAAGCCACATGGCTGGTAATTTTGGAAGAAAGAACAGGATTGCAGCATGAGCATAGAGAAGCAAAAGAAGGCAAGGCAGCATGCCACAATAAGGTGAATACTTAAGTCTCAGAGATCAGAAATTAAACAGGTAGATTAATTCTTAGACAGGAAGTCCAGAAAGATCCCAGGGCACTCAAGGAAAGAGGTTTCCCAAAACCCTTCCTGCTTAGTCTCCCAACATAATTCCCAGCACCTTATCAAATCTTTGTTGATAAAAAATTTATCAACTCTCCCATTAAAGCTAAACTCTTCTTAGAGCAGTGAAAGATGGACTCTTATATGCCAAATGTATCCCCTATATAACTGTGTAATGGCTAAATTTAAGACACTGGGACAGAAGTCTTAAGTAGCTGTTTAAGGATCGCTAAGGATCAGAGATTTGAAGGATCTCCACACACGCACAGAAGAACTCATGTAGTTGACTGCCTAATACTAAGAGTAACTGAGGACAGACATTACATTATGGCCACAGTTGAACTTAACCTTAAGAAAAGAGTTTGGGAGATCTCTGGAGTTCCTATCACATACATTTCTAAGCATAGGTACAATATGAAGAGAATGCCAGATGATTACAGAGGCTTTCCACTATAACTCTTAAAAAGACAATTCTTCTAATTCCTTCATCTGAATTTCTCTGATGCCAGTTCATGAAATGTCTTGTTATTGCAAGAGTTATAATTCCAATCAGCTACTTGCTCTGTTGTAGCAACTAATTGAGTTGGTTAAGTACACTCATTTTTTGATAGTGTTTTGAAAACAATTTTGTCTCAATTAAGAAGTCTATTTTTATGAATAGTTACTGCTCAGAGCTGACTACTGAAAAAAATAAATTACCCTGTGCTTCTCTTAACGGATTTATTTCACAGATTTTGTTCATCTAGAATAATTGTATAGATGTTCTAATATTTTACAGATCTATTATGTATGCTTTTTTTTTTTTTTTAACCTGAAGGCCATTTAGTGTTAAGAGACTTTTTTGAAGCTGATAAAACATCTGTTTCAAGTTCAAAAGCCTAAGGATTCCATTTTCTTCTGAGAAAACATTTGGTGACAATAACAAACTATTAATGATTTGTTTTTGTGAGTTTTATTCACTGTATCAGGTTTCCAAAAATTACACTAAATTTTAGTGCTATTGTAAGTCCTCAGTATGACATTGAATTTTATTCATATCTTGAACAGAGATGAGAAAGTTATATCTCTAGAAACAGTTTGCCATGTTGTCATACTTGCATGGCTACCTTCTTTAAATGAGTGTTGAGTGACTTTAAGTTTTTACTTGGACAACAAAAACTAGGATGTCACAAAAAGTTCACCTTACTTTTAATTCTGAAAGATTTAAATGACTAGTGTCAAAAGAACTTGAGTTCAGGCTTCTACAATAGCATCCTTTTTATTTTTCCTGTTCCCCAAGGCCCTATTCAAATATATCTTATAATGTAAATTTCAATATCTGATCTGCTCCTGATCCACTGTTACGCCACAGACTTGCAGAGTTGCCATATATAGCTTACATCAGTAAATTAGTATAATCCTATGCTACAGACATTGGCTGAGGCTTGGGGTGTGAAAGATATAATTTAGGCAAGCTGCACATCCCACATTTCAGAGTGGCTTTATGAATGGTTATGTAAAACCCAGCTTGTTAAATTTTTGTGATATTTCACTCCTCCGTTTGGCTTTTATAAAGAATATAATATTCAGAGTAACTTCTAATTTGTTAGAGCTACTGTAGTTTTTGCTCTCAAAACTTGTGACTATGATCAGTTCCTCTCTTCCCCCCCAGTTTTCCCACTGAAGTAAATTTTCTCTTGTGCTATATAACTAGACATTTCTCCATGATGGTCACCATTGACATGGAAGTTGTAAGAGGAGCCACAAAGAGACTCCCCTGAGTAGATACAGGTTGTCGGTTCAATTTTCCCAATGTAACTCTGTGACTACAGTGAGCACATTTTTCTCCTAAATGCTCATGCTTAGCTTCCCCAGCTAATCTCACCCCTATTAATGTTTTATTCTTCCATTAAACTGTGTAACCCTCCTATTAAGTTTAGAGGAACAAATTTGTCATTACTTAGGCCTTGCTTCATGGAAGTTCTAAGTCATTACTAAGTGGGAAGAGAAAGTTCTTTTCATTTTCTCAGCACTTAAAACTATTTAAAAGGCAGTAGAGAAATGAAACTATTTTAGAGGGGTAGAGAAATGAAAACAGAATGACCTGAGAGATTTTTTTCAAAATACAGTATACGCATGCCCTCACGCTTCACGCAGCCCCTACTCATCATACTCTCAATTGTACCTCCATTCATACACATCAGTGGTAATGACCTGCCCTCATCCTAATTTCCATCCACCTCTTTTCCAAGCCATATCAAATAAATACACAATCTAAATAGAGACTATACTTGTTTTACAAAGTAGCTTTAGATCAAGTGCCTAGCTGTCCCACCCCTTCCTTCCTTACTGCTCTCCGAATTCCTTCCTGTATAGAAATTCTGTAGATACCACTGTATCATCCCTTCTCCACTTGAGAACTATTATGGAATATAGATTTTTATTTTTGTACTTTATATCATGAAGAAACAATTCTTTTGACTAAAGGTTCAAATGTGTGGTCCTCGTTTAAATTTTTTTTTTTTATTCATTCTTTAGGTATGATCCTGATATTCTGCTAGGATATGAGATTCAGATGCATTCCTGGGGTTACCTCTTACAAAGGGCTGCTGCCTTAAGTGTTGACTTATGTAAGATGATCTCTCGGGTGCCAGGTATGTAGCATTATGAATGTTTTGTGGTTCAGCTACAGAGCAAATTACAAAGTAAATGAAGACAAAACATTAAAAAGTATTATTGTCCTAACCCAGTTTCTAATACTAAATTGTATAAGTTCTAGATATAATCATAACTACATTATAGAAAAATTTAAAAAGAAATGAAAAAAAAAAAAAAAAAGTCCACATCTTACTGCTATAATAATGTTAGTATGTTGTTCTTTTCCTTTCAGTCATTTTTTATATACGTATATAGATTTATACGTTAAAAAAAAAAAACAGCTGCCATCTAGTCAATTTGACTCATAGCAACCCTAGAGGACAGAGTAAAACTACCCCATAGGGTTTCCAAGGCTGTAATCTTTACAGGAGCATACTGCCACATCTTTCTCCCGTGGAGCAGCTGATGGGTTCAAACAGCCAACCTTTCAGTTAGCAGCCGAGTGCTTAACCCACTGTGCCACATACATACATGTGTGTACATATATATATAGAGAGAGATATGTATGTATATATCTAATATACATGTATGTGATGTTGTTGTTAGTTGCCATGGAGTCGATTCAACTCATGGCAACCCCATGTGTGCAGAGTAGAACCGTTCCATAGATTTCTCAAGTCTGTGACCTTTTGGGAGCAGATTGCCAGGCCTGTTTCCTGAGGTGTCTCTTCATGGGTTCGAACCACCAACTTTTCAGCTAGTAGTGGAGCATTTAACCATTTTTGCCACCCAGGAACTCGATGTATAGGTATACATAGTAAGAAGGACCTGGTAGTCTACTTCTGAAAAAATTAGCTGGTGAAAACCTTATGAATAGCTGCAGAATATGGTCTGATATATTGCCGGAAGATGAGCCCCTCAGGTTGGAAGGCGCTCAAAATAACGACTGAGGAAGAGCTACCTCCTCAAAGTAGAGTCGACCTTAATGACGTGGATGGAGTCAAGCTTTCAGAACCTTTATTTGCTGATACGGCATGACTCGAAATGAGAAGCAGCAGCTACAAAGATCCATTAATAATCAGACCATGGAATGTACGAAATATGAATCTAAGAAAATTGGAAGTCATCAAAAATGAAATGAAACGGGTAGAGGTTGGTATCCTAGGCATTAGTAAGCTGAAATGGACTGGTATTGGCCATTTTGAATCGGACGATCATATGGTCTACAGTGCCAGGAATGGCAAATTGAAGAGGAATGGCATCACATTTATCGTCAAAAAGAACATTTCAACAACACTGTCAGTGATAGGATAGTACCCATACCCCTACAAGGAAGACCAGTTAATACAACTATTATTCAATTTTACGCACTGTTTTAGTCATCTAGTGCTGCTATAACAGAAATACCACAAGTGGTTGGCTTTAATAAAGAGAAATTTATTTTCACACCATCTAGGAGGCGAGAAGTCCAAACCCAGGGTGCCAGCTCCAGGGGAAGGCCTTCTCTGTCTGCCAGCTCTGGAAGAAGGTCTTTGTCATCATTCTTCCTGCTCAAGGAGCTTTTCAGCACAGGGACCCCGGGTCCAAAGGACACCCTATTCTCCTGGCTCTTGTTTCTTGGTGGTATGAGGTCACCATGTGTCTCTGCTCGCTTCTCTCTTTTATGTCTCAAAAGAGATTGCTTTAAGACACAACATAATCTTGTAGATTAAGTCCTGCGTCATTAACGTAACTGCCACTGATTCCACCTCTTCAACTTCATAGAGGTAGGATTTACAGCACATAGGAAAATCATGGATGACAAAATGATGGACAATCAAACAATACTGGGAATCATGGCCTAGAAAGGTGACATACATTTTGGGGGGACACAACTCAATCCATACCACACACCAACCACTAATGCCAAAGATGAGAAAATTGAAGATTTTTACCAACTTCTGCAGTCTGAAATTGATCGAACATGCAATTAGGATGCATTGACAATTACTGATGATTGGAATGCAAAAGTTGGAAACAAAGAAGAAGGATCAATAATTGGAAAATATGGCCTTGCTGACAGAAACAATGCCGGAGATCGCATGATAGAATTTTGTAAGACCAATGACTTATTCATTGCAAATATCTGTTTTCAACAATGTAAATGGCGACTGTACATGTGGACCTCACCGGATGGAATACACAGGAATCAAATCAACTATATCTGTGGAAAGGGACAGTGGAAAAGCTCAATATCATCTGTCAGAACAAGGCTAGGGGCTGACTACAAAACAGACCATCAATTGCTAATATGCAAGTTCAAGTTGAAGGTGAAGAAAAATAAAACAAGTCCATGAGGGCCAAAATATGGCCTTGAGTATTGTCTTAGTCATCTAGTGCTGCTATAACAGAAATACCACAAGTGGATGACTTTAACAAAGAGAAATTTATTTCTTCACAGTAAAGTAGGCTAAAAGTCCAAATTCAGGGCATCAGCTCCAGGGGAAGGCTTTCTTTCTCTGTTGGCCTTCTCATCAGTGTTCCCCTGGACTAGGAGTTTCTCCACACAGGGACCCCGGGTCCAAAGGACGCGCTCTGCTCCTGGCACTGCTTTCTTGGTGGTATGAGGTCCTTCTGTCTCTCTGCTCACTTCTCTCTTTTATATCTGAAGATATAATTTTGTAGATTGAGTCCTGCCTTACTAACACAACTGCCGCCCATCCTCCCTCATTAACATCATAGAGGCACAATTTACAACACATAGGAAAATCACACAATACCCGGAATCATGGCCCAACCAAATTGATACACACGTTTTTTGGGAGGACATAATTCAATCCATGACAAGTGTATCCCACCTGAATTTGGAGACCATCTCAAGAATAGAGTTGATGCATTGAACACTAATGACCGAAGACCAGACGAGTTATGGGAAGACATCAAGGACATCATGCATGAAGAAAGCAAAAAGTCATTAAAAAGACAGGAAAAAAAGAAAAGACCAAAATTGGATGTCAGAAGAGACTCTGAAACTTGCTCTTGAACATAGAGTAGCTAAAGTGAATGGAAGAAATGATGATGTAAAAGAGCTGAACAGAAGATTTCAAAGGGCAGCTCAAGAAGACAAAGTAAAGTATTATAATGAAATATGTAAAGACCTGGAGTTAGAAAACCAAAAGGGAAGAACATGCTCAGCATTTCTCAAGCTGAAAGAACTGAAGAAAAAATTTAAGCCTCAAGTTGCAATTTTGAAGGATTCTATGGGCAAAATATTGAATGACACAGGAAGCATGAAGAGAAGATAGAAGGAATACACAGAGTCACAGTACCAAAAAGAATTGGTCAACGTTCAGCCATTTCAGGAGGTAGCATATGATCAAGAACTGATGGTATAGAAGGAAGAAGTCCAAGCAGCACCTGGAGGAGGCATTGATAAAAAACAACTCCAGGAATTGACGGAATACCAATTGAAATCCTTCAACAAAGGGATGCAGCACGCTGGAGGTGCTCACTCGTCTTTGCCAAGAAATTGTGAAGACAGCTACTTGGCCAGCTGACCGGAAGAGATCCATATTTGTGCCCGTTCCAAAGAAAGGTGATCCAACAGAATGTGGAAATTATCGAACAGTATCATTAATACCATACGCAAGTAAAATTTTGCTAAAGATCATTCAAAAGCAGTTGTAGCAGTATATCAATTGTGAACTGTCAAATTCATGCCGGATTCAGAAGAGGATGTGGAACAAGGGCTATCATTGCTGATGTCAGATGGATCTTGGCTGAAAGCAGAGAATACCAGAAAGATGTTTACCTGTGTTTTATTGACTATGCAAAGGCATTAGACTGTGTGGATCATAGCAACTTATGAATAACCTTGCAAAGAATGGGGATTCCAGAACACTTGATCATGCTCATATGGAACCTGTGCATAGTCCAAGAGGCAGTTGTTCGAACAGAAGAAGGGGATACTGCATGGTTTAATATCAGGAAGGGTTGCATCAGGGTTGTATCCTTTCACCATACTTACTCAGTCTGTATACCGAGCAAATAATCTGATAAGCTGGACTGTATGAAGAAGAAAGGGGCATCAGGATTGGTGGAAGACCCATTAACAACCTGCGATATGCAGATGACACAGCCTTGCTTGCTAACAGTGAAGAGGACTTGAAGCACTTACTGATGAAGGTCAAAGACCACAGCCTTCAGTATGGATTGCACCTCAACATAAAGAAAACAAAAATCCTCACAACTGGACCTATAAGCAGTATCATGATAAATCGAGAAAAGATTGATGTCAAGGATTTCATGTTACTTCGATCCACAATCAACACCCATGGAAGCAGCAGTCAGGAAATCAAATGACTTATTGCATTAGGGAAATCTGCTACAGAAGATCTCTTTAAAGTGCTAAAAAGCAAAGATGTAACTTTGAGGATTAAGGTGCACCTGACCCAAGTCATGGTATTTTCAGTCCCTTCATATGCATATGAAAGTTGGGCAATGAATAAAGAAGATCAAAGAGGAATTGATGCCTTTGAATTATGGTATTGACAAAGAATATTGAATATACCATGGACTGCCAGAAGAACGAACAAGTCTGTCTTGGAAGAAATACAGCCAGAGTGCTCCATGGAAGCGAGGATGGCAAGACTTCGTCTCATGTACTTTGGGCATGTCATCAGGAGGGACCAGTCCCTGGAGAAGGACATCATGCTTGGTAAAGTAGAGGGTCAGCAAAAAAAAAGGAAGACCCTTGATGAGATGGATTGACACAGTGACTACAGCAATGGGCTCAAACATAACAAAGACTGTGAGAATGGCACAGGACCAGGCAGTGTTTCATTCCGGTGTACATAGGGTCACTTTGGGTCGGAACTGACACAACGGTACCCAACAACAACAAATATATATATTTTAACCATACTATATATATTCCATTTTATTATGCTTCCTTCATTCAGCATTTACCATAAGTATTTTTCTGTGTGCTCAGCTGCTAACCAAAAGTTTGGAGGTTGAGTCCTCCCAGAGGCACTTTGGAAGAAAGGCCTGGCGATCTTCAAAAGATACAGCCGTTGAAAACGATGTGGAACACAGTTCTACTCTTAATATTCATGGAGTCCCCGTGAATCAGAATTGACTTGACAGCAACTGGTTTTTTTATTTTATGAGATAGTCTTCATAATCATTATGAAGTTGCATAATATTTCTTTGAGTTGATGAACCATCATTTTTATTTTATTTCCCTGGTTGTATTTTTTATCCATTTAGTTGATAAGAAAGGGTGGAATGGGTGGAGGAACACTGACTTGTTAATTATTACTTTTTATTTGGGTATCAAGCTAAAATTTGCAGGACTTTTACAGGCTATTCCCCAAAAGTCTGATTCTTATTGAAGAAAACCAAAAACCAAACCCATTGCCATCAAGTCAATTCCAACTCATAGTGACCATATAGGACAAAGTGGAACTGCTCCATAGGGTTACCAAGGAGCACCTGATGGATTTGAACTGCTGACCTTTTGGTTAGCAGCCATAGCACACCACAGCTCTGAAAAGAGGGGTAATAATATTTGCAATAATAGTAAAAAGCATTTGCAGTTTGTAAAACAATTTTTTTAAGTATGTTTTCTTTATAACTACAGAATTTTTAATAAATTTGTTTCAAAGACTCCCCAGGAAGTCTGACTAGAACAAAGTAGCAGGTACTTTGGGAGGCTAAAAGGCCAAATACAGACTTACCAGGAGACCACCTGGGAGAGGTTATGACTTCAATAAAATGTCTTAAGTGTTGGTAAATTTAAAGGGAAAAGTTGAAGCTAGAAGATTCAAGGACAGTAAGTATTTTGAACTTTGCAAAAGCTTGGAATGAAAAGGAAGAGGTACGTTGCTCAAACATTCTATAGAAGAATCCTGATTAAAAGGGGGAAAATGCAGAACAGAATTTTAAATTCTCATGGACTCCAGACTTGCTGGAGCCATGGAAGCTGGGTGATCCCCCACAAGTGTTGCCCTGAGATAATCTTTAAACCGTCAACCAAAAATATCTCTTGAAGTCTTCTTAAAACCAGACAGTAGTTTAGCTTAACTAGTAAAAAGTGTCTGCCTTGAACATTATGCTCTTTTAGAAACTATCTATATGGGATCAAATTGAGAACAGCAACTCGAAAGATTAGGTGGGAACCTTAGGGGGCTGTCAGTTTATGTTAATGGAGGAGGAACAACTCAGAGAAGGAGGGTGAGGATGATTGCACAACTTGAAAAATGTAATCAGTGTCACTGAGTTGTACATGTAGAAACTGTTGAATTTGTATATGTTTTGCTGTGTATATTCTCAACAACAACAACAAAGTAAATAAATAAAAGAAGAGAGAGTTAGATGGATGGGTGTGCATGGTCTTTGGAATCAGCTAATCCTCATTTAGAATACTAGTTCTTTTACTATATGACTTGGGGCATGATAATAATATTTCTGAGTAGCGTAAAATGATAAGTATACTAACATAATAAAGTGATTGTATTAAAATACAAGAGAGAATGTTAATAAAGTTTCTAGAATATAATAGGTGTTCAGTATGTGGTAAATATTTTATTATTCCAAAGCTTCTAATCAATGACATTACACCTAGTGTTATGTTAATAACACTTGAACTGCCAGAAATTCAAGCTGGATTTAGAAGAGGACATGAAACCAGGGATATCATTGCTGATGTCAGATGGATCCTGTATGAAAGCAGAGAACACCAGAAAGATGTTTACCTGTGTTTCATTGGCTATGCAAAGGCATTCGACTGTGTGGATCATAATAAATTACGGATAACACTGAAGAATGGGAATTCCAGAACACTGAATTGCGCTTATGAAGAACCTGTGCATAGATCATGAGTCAGTACTTCGGACAGAACAAGGGAATAATGGGTGGTTTAAAGTCAGGAAAGGTGTGTGTCAGGGCTGTACCTTTCACCATACTTATTTAGTCTGTATGCTGAGGAAGGAATCTAAGAAGCTGGACTACATGAAGAAGAAAGGGGCAGCAGGATTGGAGGAAGACTCATTAACAACCTGCATTATGCAGATGACACAACCTTGCTTGCTGAAAGTGAAGAGGACTTGAAGCACTTACTGATGAAGATCAAAGACCACAGCCTTCAGTATGGAT